TGATTGTGGCCTGCCAGACGCTTTCCTCTCCGGAGGCGCTTTTGGGAAGGTAGTGTCACCTGACCACCTGCACCCGACTTTACCTCCCTGCTCGTAGTGTGGGTTATGGGGGGACTGTGAGGACAGGGGCCCCTCTGTGGTTAGGGGACAGGGCACACAAACCCCTGTGACACCTTCAGCTTTGTCACAAGCACTTTCCCCCATGGAAGCACCGCTCATCTCCCTTCTCATCCACTCTCTCTTTGTGTTGTTACTGCTCAGTCAAAGGTCCCCAGACTGCTGAGAAACCCCTCAGGAACCCCCTCTGTCCCTGTGGGAAGGGGTTTCCATCGCCACCTGACCGACCTTCCCAGTATTCCCACTCTCACCACTTCTGACACACACGTTTGAGCTCTGAATGCCGTTCCAAGACCTCCCTAGCTGGTTTCTCCCTCAGCTTTTCACACCACAGGCTCTGTCACTCACCTGCAGCCCTGACCAGGCTGATAATCTTAATTTCTGCCCCTGCATCCCCCATCCTGCCTGGGACAGCCCTGGCCTGACACCCAGTTAACCAAATTCCAGAAGGTGCCCCCCTGCTCTGATTGCTGTGACTGAGCTGTCCAATTCCTCCACCATATGCAGCCTAAAGTCAACACCAGACCTATTTTAACAGGGGGCCTTTGCAAAGGACAACTTCGGGACTTCAAAAGCCCGACCCCATGCCCGCCTCTTCCCAGAGCTGTCATGGGGCCATCAGGAGGCAGTTGCTGGGGCTCTGTGCTTTGCTGAGAATTTTATAGCTTGTTTTCTTTTCCCGTGGCTTTTATTTGTTCTTCACCCCTGAACAATGCAGCTGTGCCATGCCAGCCCACAGCTGGGCCCCTCGCCTCAGCACGGAGGTGTCACAGCTCCGGGCTTGTCACCTTCCCTCAGAGCAGAGATGTCTTAATCCCTCATTCCTTCCTGTTTACCTTATGGTGCTCTCCCAATACAAAGCCACGCTGTATTTGCTTAATTATCAAATTTCAGCCCAGAAGATGACAGCGTAGCTCCGGAGTGTTTCTTAGGAGCAATCCCCAGCTGACACACGCCGTGACAGCACCGAGCAGAGCGGAACCCCCCGTCCCCGCGCCCTCAGCGGGATGGAGCCGCTGTCTCCGTGCTCTGCTGTCAGAATTCCTGTGGCTGACACAGAGAGGCCAAACCTCACATCCCCACTGAGGCCGGCAGAGCAGGAGCAGCAGCCACCGACGTGCTGATGGAGACAGGAGCGGCCCGGGAGAGCTTTGCCAGGCGTGAGGGAGAGAGATTCCTGCCACAAAGCTGGGCCCTGGCTTTAAGACGTGGTTCGGCCCTCCTGGGATGAGCCCAGCAGCCTGCAGGAGCTTTTGTCATCTCCCCAACAGGACACAAGCATGAGGGAGCCCGGAGACAGCACTGCTGCCTCCGGAGGGAATGGCTGTTTCAGATCAGGCCCAGCCCCACATGTGCTGAAGCTGCACTTTTAGCACAGAAAGCAGCACGGGAGCACGCACCAGACACTTGTGTGTCCCCCCTCGTGGGTTTTCCCCTTCCATGGAAAGCTCAGGAAGAGCAGCCTGCTGTGCCCTGCTGGAGCTGCCGCTCAGCTCTGCCTTCTCCTCATCCCACACATGCTGAGCAGCCCCGGCCCACACCACGGCTCCACCACAAAAAGGATTTTAGAGGTCATTCCTGCCCTGCAGAATGCACTAGCAAAGCTTGTGGGGTGCAGGTGGGGGTTTTAAATTCCCAGCCCTTGTTTCACAGAGGTTCAATCCTTTTCCTGAAGGTGCAGGACCCAGGGCTGGTTCCTATGCTCAGGGCAGAGCCTTCCCAAGGGCACAGACCAGGGCTGGGACACAGGGAATGATCTCCTGGCCACACCTAATCCCTGAGGCAGCACCTGTACCCAGGGCACAGCCTCAGGACTCGGCTCAATCAGAGGAAAAAAGGTCTAAATCCCTCAGTCTGAGGACTATTGTAGGTTGTGTCCACATGGGCACGTCTCAGTTGTTCAAAGCCTTGAGGCTCACAAGTGGCTCTGCCTTTGGTGACACAAACCACAGGATTTGGTCCCTGTCGATCAACACGAGGGGACGTTTATTTCTCCAGGGATTGGCATGGCCTCACAGGAGCCTTAGCTCTCTCTCAAATCTGTCAGAAATGCATGTTTTCCCAGGAGAATGAAAGCTCACCTCCTCCTAAAACTTGTATTTTAGGAGATCTGGACTTGGCATTGGAGTATTTTGCAAGATTGCATTGGCAAATTCCTTTTTAAAATTCAAAGCTGAGCCCACACGAAGAGTGAGTGAAAATCTTCGCATTTCTTTGGGTTGCTTGATAAGCAGAAATGTTTTTTGCAAAGCCAGGAAAACAGAACTCTGGGGATTTTCTTGAGTTCTTTGCTAACATTTCCACTGGTGCCACCAGAGCAGAGCTGCACAGGAATGTGGGAGAATAAATTGAGTGTACAGAGCTCCTCCCAGCTCTGCTCCCAGGATCAATTTTCCATTGGTGTTCCAGGGATGGGAAAATCCTGAAGAAAGGAAGAAGCTGAACCTCCCAGGAAGCTGCAAGGAGCTTCCCAAAACATCCATCCTTGTCCTCATCCAGAGACAACGACCTAAATCCTGTGGCTGCCCTGGAGGACAAACCCTCCAGGAAGGCAGTGAGTGAGCTGGGAGAAGGCGTGGTCTGGTCCAGCCCCACTCCATGACCTCCCTTGAGATCCCCACAGGCACCCAAGGAGGGACAGCCACCCCTCCACTGTGACCTCTCAGCTTCTTTTGGCTCCATCAGCTCAGCCTCAGTTCCTCCTTCCACTCCCAGGAAACAGCTAGAAGTAGTTTGGCACCAATTTCCTCCCATCCCCATACACCTGGCTGCTTTTCCAGCATCCACCCCTCCTGATCCACCTGTTTCTGCAGTCAAGAGGGGCCAAACTTAGGGAGAATGGCTTTAATTGGAGTTACTGTGTCCTGTGTCCACCCTGAATGCCTGGGCTGGAGTGGCCAGTGCTGTGCACCACTGGCCACCAGCCAGGGCAAGCTGGCTGCTCTGCCTGTAGCCTGGTGTGTTTGCAGAATGCCCAGTGGGAGAGGCTTGGTCTGGCTGAAGGAAAATACCCGTCCCATTTCTCCTGGCAATAGCACACAGGGACGCAGGAATTGGGGCAATGCAAGAAATGTCCCAGCCAGGCGTCACAAAGTCCTTGTGTGGACAAGGCTGGGACACGCCGTGATAGGATCAGATAATTCTGGAGGTGCAGAGTGTGGGCAGTGCCTGGGCACATCGCTGGCCCCAGCAGCAGGTCGGGATGGTTTTGGATCCCAGCTCCAAACCCGTGCATGTCCCCAGGGTGTGTGGCTTCCCGGCCACGTTTTCCCTGGACAGAGGCGCTCAGGAAAGGCGGCTCCCGCCCTCCCTCTGCTCGGCCCGAGGTTAATCCCCTGCTGTGCTGAAGCATTTTGCCTTGTTCCTAACATTCCTTGGCCTGGCTTTAATTTTCTGCCACTGCTTCTTAGTTTGAATTTCCCTGAATTCAAGTGGCTCTTTAGCAACCCGTTTTTTCTTTCTATGAACGCCTTTGAGGGCTGTAATAAAAATCACCTTCCAGGATTGGCATCATGTCCATTCCTCAAACTTTGCTTTGCACCTGGTGGAGAAGACACCCCTGCACTCCTGCAGACCCTGCTATGAGCAAAACCTGGGCCAGGTGCTGAGGGCTCTGTGAGGAAAAGTTTTGGCTCTGGTTGCTCCACTAAGCCCAGTCCTGCTGTCTCTTCTCTCTTCTTTCTCTTGCGCTGCCAAGGACCTCACAAGCCTTTTGTTCCCTGACTTTATTGCTC